AGTATTATATTACATTAAGAGAAGCCAGTCCTCTGTCTTGTGTTCGCAAGGACTATTGTCGAATATTGTCTGTTAAGTCCCCTGTAAGCAAGGGGCAAGAGTAGCTTCGCTGTTTTAGCAACTTTTTATAAATCGGTAATAAATTTGAGGTTATCTGGTGATAGTCGGAGTGAATATATAAACATAAGTCTGTTGCTCATGTTTTAAATAGTTTTGGGAGCGTGGACTACTGCTCTTGGTTGCATTGTTTCTCAGCCATGAAGACAACCAGCTGACTTTTATAATTAAATTATAAACAACCCGAATTACACAGTTGTTCAAAATTTCAACCTTCTATTAGCTTACCTGCTTTATCTCAGGATAAGGCAATGGTTTTTACCAACAAATACATGTTTTATCTGTGTGGGAATCGAAGAGGACAATCGGTTTAATTTCGCGAATTACTCCGACATGTCTCCATATGTTGCTATTTATGTACATATCGTCTGAAAGAAAGTTATCAAATTCGATATTGGAGATATCAAGGCCATCTGGTCCTAGTGGGAATGGATATACAGGATGTGCCGTATATCGAGCGTGGCACCTGGCACCAAGAAAACAATTGAAGTGTACCGTTAATATTCTCTTCATTTTTTTTATTTCTATTGATCTTATTGCCGAGTCGTGTGCACAGCGGCCCCAAAATAATGAATTTGCTTACGTCTTTGGTGTTACATTACTATACTCTTAAATAATATGAGTGTTTGTGGTTTTTTGAAGAAAATAAATATGACTCAACTTTTTACTATGAAATTTGATATCAAAATATTTTCGACAAAGTTCGAGTGTTTTATGTAAAAAGATGTATTAAAACCTAAGTGGCCAGCAATACACCACCAAATAAGTATAGAATTGAAACGATAATTCCTTGATAGCATTGCTAACTTTTTACTATTGAGATAATTGATAATTGAGAAAAGGTAAAAACGACAAAAAAACGGTAAATATCTTATTACACTTTAATTAAAAAAAAATTGCAGTTGAGCTTAAAATAATAGATAAATGTAAAAATTCACATTTCGATATATTCAAAGTAGGATATTGATCCTGCGCTGAAGTACCGGCGCATTGGCCAACACGAGACATGCGTTTAAACTCGTTCACATTTCTTTCCCATTGGTGCCTGATAATAGCCTGACGTGAGGTCTACAGTAATAAAACAGGATTGACCCAAAAGACAAGCTATTTAATCTTCAACGATTGGCATTGGATATCTCCCCTTAAGAGTTACAGAATTCAGCATACGGTAATTTTAAAAGATCCATCTTTGTTGCGTACTAGAAGGATAGGAGTAGCGTAGATGGAAGATGACTGGCGCAAGACCTGCGTCACATCTCTTCCCAACGCTTATGATGTGACAGTCGATACAGACAATATATAACAATATTAAAAACAGGAATTTTGAAATATGGCGATTTGTTTCTTAATATTAGTTGCCCTTGATAATGAATTAGCAGTCTTTTGGGATGGTAAGAGCGTATTTTACGCGAGGGTTATTAATGGATGTTTCAAAACTGACAGCTGACTCTTTGTCTTATCATGTCTTTTGCAGAGTATGTATGCGACAGTATTTTTTCCTACGATTGTAAGAGCAGTCGTTTATTCTGTATTTTTAGAAGAATTATGACAACACAAATTGTATTGATTTTGAGTAGAATAACCACCGAGAGGTGGACATTTTTTGCTGTTATATTGTGAGGTGTACAGAGTTTCAGTCTGCTTTGTACAACTAGTTTGCGTAAATGTTTACTTGAGGACTTGACAATAGTGGGAGGGCATGAAACTTAAAAAATCTTTATCTACAAGCTGTTTTTCAATGTCCATGTCCGTTTGTCTATCTAAATACATTTCAACTCGGTATATGTAGATATGCCAACCAAAATAAGAAGATAAATCAATCTTTTTTGTGTAGAAAAACACCGCAACTATAGATTTAATCTGTTTTGCGTTGAGGATGTCTACTTGGAGATTGAAGAAAACCCAAATTATTAAATTCACAAGTTTATTCTCTTCCTTCAACTTTTGTTTCACGGCCCGAAATCCGATTGTTTAACTCAACCCCTTTTTGCCTCCGGCGGGTTGTAAAAAATATCCGTGAGATGTCGCAGGTCCGTTGCTTGGAGTTGTTGCAGAACGAAGCGAAGTTTTTGGTCATCCGATGTTTTTAGCGGCTCCACCACGGCTTCGAATTGAATGAACCATGCCCGAGGAATTTCCCGCCAAAATGGTAGTAATTTCGACTGGATGGAGACTCCTGCCAGGTCTAAGCTTGGTAACGATGCTTGTTGACTTGTATCTTGATTCGAACAGCTTTGTTGATCTTCCATGTTTGAATCACGTCGGGGTCACCAATGTGGGAGGCTTTCACTATTGTCGATATTTGCGGGAAGAATAACACACGGAGTCCAGATTTGTAATGTCTGTATTTTCTAATTTCTTAACT